TGCTCCAAATTCTGTGATCCTAAAATTCCAGGACCGTCTTCTTGATAAATGTTGGCTGACTGTGCTTTGAAATACCGGAGGCATTTATGTACCTAAGGATTTTATTTTTCTTTCATTTAGTTATCTTTATTAAGTATATTTTAAATTACAAAGATGATAATATGCTTTAGGTAACGATTGAAGCCAAGCAAAAATATATTAAGGAACATCGAACCTTTTTCTCACTCTGTCTGTGCCTCTCCCCATCCCAGTTATCAGCCTGGGGTGTGTCTTCCATACTCTTTCTCTGTTCCCGCACACATGTAGGGCCTGTCTTTTGTTAATGTTGCTAGTTTTTACATAACTAGCAATAAAACACTTTCCTTTCTCGCATCCTGGCATCCGTCCAGAAGCACGGGGCCAGGCCCATCTCATTTTAAAAGTCTTTGTTAATTTGTGACTACCTGCATGTGACTCAAGATTCAAATGGTACAAAAGTGTTTAAATAAAATGTTTCTCCCACCTCTGTTCCCCACCCGCCCTCCTCCCTTCCCTAGAGGATTGGGAATCCTTCCAGACAGTGTCTGCATTTATGAAGATATATACATGTCAACAGTTCCCACGTGAATGGGAGAGTATTTGTGTTTGTTTATCAACGTGTCTTGGAGACTGTTCCATATCAGACAAAGCACGCATCCTCATTTTATTTTATAGCTGCGTAGGGTTCCCTTGTGTGCGTGTGCCTCTTTTATGAGGCTCCTGCTGATGGACCCTCAGGATGTTTGCCATCTTTTGTCACTGCCAAGAGAACTGTAAGGAAGATGCTTTTACGCAGTCATTTTGCACAGGATGGAGTGTCTGTAGCATGAGTTCCTAGCAGTGGAATTGTAGGGTCCAGGGATATGTGCTGTGGAAATGGAGGAGGATGCAGCCCCAAGGCCCCCACTCAAGGGCCGACGTGTGTCTCCCTCATTGCACTTGAGCCAGTCTTTAAAATACAGAGTTGGGTGGGGTGGGGGCACGGAGTGGGCAGTAGGGAGATTCTTGCCTCTCCTTGTGGCGATGCCTCTGAGATGTGTCCTCTGTCCTCATCTGTCTCCACAGAGCAAGCTGGTGAAGTACTTCAGCCGGCAGCTGTCCTGCAAAAAGAAGGTGGCCCTGCAGGAGCGCAACGCCGAGCTGGATGGCTTCCCCCAGCTCCGCCACTGGTTCCGGATCGTCGACGTGCGCAAGGAAGTCCTGGAGGTGACCGGAGGCGCCCCGTGCCCCCTGCCCCTAACTGGCCAGCAGACAGCCCCTGCGGCAGTGGGTTTTTGGCTGTGCCTGGCACATAGTAGGCCTTCAATAAATATGTATGGGATGAAGGCACGGAGGATCTCTGAGGCTGTTGAATGGGGTCATTAAGAGTGTGGTTCTAGAGTTGGGATCTCTTTCAACTCTGCCACTCATGAATTCAGTCCCTTTGGCCAAATCGCTTAACCTCTTGGACCAGTGCTGTCCAGCAGAACTTTCTGCTACGATGAAAATATTTTATATTTGTGCTGTCCAATGCAGTTGCCACCAGTCACATGTAGCTGTTGAGCTACATGTGGTTAATGTGTGTGACTGTGGAACTGAATTTTTAATTGTCTTGAGGGTTAATTAGTGTGGCCAGCGGCCACCATATTGGACACCAGTCTTAGGGCATTAGTTTTCTTGTCTGTGAAATGGGATAATGATTGTCTCCTCTTCGTCAGTAGCTGGCATGATAAAATGAGGTGATCTATATAAAATGTTCAGTTCATAGTCTGGCACCTAATAGCACTCAGTAAATGTTGGCTTATTATATTGTTATTATTGCTGTTGAAAACTTCGGAAGTAACAGGTTTTCTAAGGGCAAAACAAAACCAGAACACATGCTGTCTTGTGTCCACCATCGAGGCGTGGCCCACATCCATAAGGTCTCAGGGACAGTGAGATGTCCTTTCCCCCTCAGATCCCAGGTCCCCAGTGTTCCCAGTGACCGGATCAGCCCTTCCTAATGAAACCAGCTCTCAGTTATTCAATCTTCGGTGCCAGCCATTGTACTGAGGGCTCTACACCCAGGACCCCAACTGTTGAGGCCGTTCAAACCCTCACAACGACCTTTTGAGGTGGGAAGGACTCTCATCACCAGTGTACAGAGCTAGAGACTGAGGCTTAGAGATGGAGCGACCTGTTCTGTTAGTGCGTGTGCGGGGCTAGCGGGAGAAACCCACTCCAATGGACTCTGGAGGGCGAGGTGGGAAGCACTGTGCTTTCCCCTCCTTTTCCTGGTGCCGGGGCCTCCCCGAGCCAGGCAGAAGAGGGGTGCCCCCTCTTGCTTGCGGGGCCAAGCGACATTTCTCCAAGTGCTCCCTGCTCCCTGCTTGAAGAGGCCCCCAAGATCCTCTTCCACCTTTTGTCTTTTTCAGACCTTGTCCCAGGATGTGATCTCACCTGAACCCACCATCTAACAATCTGAGCCAGACCCCTCCTCTCCTCCATCCCCCACCCCCCATGCCTCGCACGTGCGCACCAGAAGGGGTGTGATTCCGTGTTTTCTATTTCATTCCCAGGAGGGCGGTTTCGTGTGAATATCCTTAAAATGAAGGGTCTCGTATAAGTGCAGACAGTACATTCTATTCATGTGGCCCAGTCTGCTTTTCAGATGCTTTTGGGACCTTTATTTATCAAGCGGGGCGAATAAGACAGAGACAGCTCTTCTTGACCAGGCATTGAAAGCGGGTGGCCCTCAAGCTGTGTCTGATGCACAGACACTTTTTGTTTGGCTGATACGATGTTCGAAAATTTTTTTGAGCCAATATTTAAAGCTTGAAAGGCTTTGCATAAAAACTGAGATCTCTGGCTTCTCTTGTAAAATCGAAATTGCTGACCACACTGAAGTGAATTCTGCAGCCCCTTAGGGTCCCGGGGGCTCCAAGTTCACAGCTTTGCTCATTTACGTTTACCTGGCCTGCAGGTGTCCGAGCTCCGGTTCTTACCTTGGTCTGTGAGAACCTTGAGTCCAAGACCACCAACCAAGGGGTGTGGATGGAGCTGGGGTTCCACTCTCTGTCTGTAGCTCACACATGCAGCCACCAGAGGTCCCCTTTTGTTGGAGGAACCAGCAGTATGGAGAAAGCTCCAAAGTCGACCTGGGTTCAAACTTACTTGCTGTGTGACCTTGGGCAATTAGTCTAACCTCTCTGAATTTTATTGTCCTAGTTAGAGACTAGTGAGGATGATAAAAGTACTACTTTATGTGGTCTTTGTGACTTTAAAAGAAAATCCATGAAAAATGCTTCAAACAGTGCTCCATCCGTTTCAATTATTATTATTATTTTAATTAAAAAATCTTTTTTGCTGAGGAAGATTAGCCCTGTGGTAACATCTGTGCCAATCTTCCTCCAGTGTATATGTGGGTCACTGTCACAGCATTGATGAGTGGCATAGGTCCACACCTGGGATGGGAACCTGCGAACCTGGGTCACTTTGAACTTAACCACTATGCCTCAGGGCCAGCCCCTACCTATTATTATTTTATTGAACAGAAGTGCATCTGCTTTTTCGGCCCGGGTCTGTTAAGGCTGTTTCCATTTTTGATGTCATTATTACTTTTGCGAGTTTTTTTGGTGAACCCTAAACTTCCATGTAAATTGAGTATTTTGGGGGGTAAATTATAGGATTAAAACGCACCAGTGAATCCTGCAGCAAAGAGGAGAACTCTTTTATGTCGTGAGTCCTCCCCTCTAAATGCGATGCATTTTGCACCTTCAGATCTGGGTCTGTCACCTTTCTTAAAGGGGGCTTACCTGCAGCGTGTCCCTGTTTGAGAAAGCCTCGAAGTGACTCAGGTACTGTCCTCTCTCTGCCCGCTGCCCAGTGAGTTGGAAGGGCATTGACCGGGCTCCGCTTTTTCTGTGCATCTTTGGATAGAATTTTGTGCTGATGCAGCGGAGGGGTGTCTGATCTTGTTGTAATACACAGGGATGGCCACAAGAGGGCAGAAGTATTCCACAATGTTGCCTTACAACCTCCATCCATAAAACTTTTATTTAAATAATAATATACGTAAAAACGATAGATGCCATTAAGTGCTATAAAATGAAGGCTCTCTTGGGGCTGGCCCCGTGGTCGAGTGGTTGAGTTTGCCCGCTCCGCTGCAGGCGGCCCAGTGTTTCGTTGGTTCGAATCCTGGGCGCGGACGTGGCACTGCTCATCAGACCACGCTGAGGCGGCATCCCACATGCCACAACTAGAAGGACCCACAACGAAGAATATACAACTATGTACTGGGGGGCTTTGGGGATAAAAAGGAAAAAATAAAATCTTTAAAAATAAAAATGAAGGCTCTCTTTTTATAGGCACATAAGTATAGAAGTCTGACAAATTTCAGGGTGTATCCATATTACGGTGTCTAGGGCCATGTGATTTTGGGGAGGGGAGGGTGGTTCCTGGTGGCAGTGAGGGGACATTTGTAGCCAAGGAGCCTACCTGTTCTGTTCCCAGCCCATCTCTCCAGAGGCACCCCCCCCCCCGCCCCCCCACCACGCTATATTCCAGCCTTCCCACTTTGTCTGGGGATGCAAAGCCGTGCCCCACGGGGCTCAGACACAAATCCAGTTTCATTTCCAGCACTGAGCCACCGTCAGGGCTCCAGCCCCTTTCCCCGTAGAGTTCCTGAACCCCAGTGTGAATCCTAGGATGTGTGGCTGGAGGAGAGAGAAGCAGAGAGTGGGGGCAGCCATCGGGAGTCTTGGGCTGTCCAGTCTGCTCTGCTCTGCGTTCACCTTGGATTTACGAAAAGTCACTGCAGTCCAAGCTGAGCGGGAGACTCTGAGGGCCATCCAAAGACGAGGACAATGGAGCCCTTCCCATGCCGAGTTCAGAAGCTGCGTGGGGAGACAGATAATTAACATTCACCATTTATGGAGCATTGCCTATGTCTGAGCAGACGTGCTAACTTACCAAGTATGTGCGCTTAAGATTCCCATTTTACAGGTGAGTAAAGTGAGGCTCAGAGAGGTTAAGTGATTTGCTCTAGGTCACTAGCTAATGAGTGGCAAAGCTGAGATCAAACCCAGGCTGGTCTGACCCCAGAGGCAGAGACCCAACCTGTAGCCAAGAGGCCATCCGCACAGGGCCGGGTGTCCCGCTGGGTACCACTAGGGGGCGGCGTGGAGGCTCACGGTGTTCCTCCCCTCCCGGTGCTCACGGTTTATTTACCATCCTCCTCTCTTCCTCCCTCTAGGAAATCACCCCTGGCCAGCTGAGTCTGGAGGACCTGTTGGAGATGACGGATGAGCAGGTGTGTGAGACCGTGGAGAAATACGGAGCCAACCGGGAGGAGTGTGCCCGCCTCAACGCCTCCCTCTCCTGCCTGCGGAAGGTCCACATGTCAGGTGAGCGGGCAGGGGGCTGGAGACTGGTCCCCAACCCGTCTGCCGCCTTCTTCCAGATTCCTGTGCCCGCAGCTGCAGGCCAGGACGAGACGGAGTCGCCTTTGGCTGGTAAATGCCGCTCATGAGCAGAGGGAGGAGGAGCCTGGAATCTGGATGTTGGAAGAAGTGGTCAGGGCAGCTCCTGAGAACTGGTGCCCGAGGGAGACCTTCTGAGGTTGTAGGGCGTTTGGTTCTGGATAATCAGGGTCCCGATACAGAAATACTGGGTGTGCGTAGGAGACCAGTGGCTTTTTACCGCAGATGTTCTGAAGTGCCTTTGTATTTTGGGTCAACATCTAACTTCTTATTTTTTACATAAACAATATATAGCCACTGTAAAATAAATCAGAAAATAGATTAGCAAAAATAAAATAATACCCTAAGCCCCATCCTCTAGGAGCCTGCTGTTGTCATTTTGGTATAACTTTTGGTATAATTCTTCTGGACAAATACGTATGTGTATACTTTCTTTAAAGAATAGAATTAGGATTATCCATACATATTATTTGGAGACTTTATTTTTTTTCCATCTCACAAAATAACCTCTGTGACTTGTTTTATCAGTTTGGGGTTCAAATATATTGTCATCTTTCTTTGCCCTTTCCCCTGAATTACTCAAACTCTCGTTTGCCTTTGTGAGCAGGACATCAAATATCATCTTCCTGAGTCTTCCTGCTTCTCTCTAGTCTCGTGATTTTTCCACAAATCCTGGGGCCTTCTCGGTCCTAAGGGATCAGTTCGGCAAACACCAACCAAAGAAAGGTGTTGGTCCACCTGCTCGGTTGTTTCAGTTCTCACCACAAGGTGTCACTGTTGGACGTCAGTCTGGCACAGTGTGCGGGAGGCTTGTCCGTACACGCCCTCGCTGGATTCACCGTGCAACACTCACCAAGTATTGATTGAGTGACTACGTGTCTGCTGTGCTGGGGTCCAGCAGCAAACAAAACAGAACTTATGTGAAACAGGCCATTGGCCCACGTTGCATGCCTCTCTCTTTATATTCTTTCTTGGCAGCAGACCCTAATCAAAGCTACAGTCCACGTCAAATGGGACTTTGAGTTGGGTCCTGTCCTGTCATTGGAGGATGCTTAGTAGCATCTCTGGCCTCCACCTACCAGTAGCCACCAATAACATCCCCCCCAAACGTGACAAACAGAAGTGTCTCTGGATATTTCCAAATGTTCCCTGTGGGGGCGGAATCACCTCTGATTGACTAGTTATAAAGGTCATGACATTCCTTACTCTAGTACAATGCTGTTGACTCACCTAACATTTGCGTGGCTAAGAGGGGCCTGTCCGTCACTCAGGACAGACAAAACCTCTTCAGGGAGATTCCTCTCTCTGCCCACAGTGAGAAGCCGCTGGCAGCTTCCCTCCTTTAAAAAATTGCACCGAGTCACAATGTTAAATCATAAACATCTTCCTTTGTCAATAAACGTGTTTTCCTCCTCATTTTGAATGCCTGAATACTGCAGCCATTTGTTCAACCAGTCTCCAATTTTTCAAAATTTAGGTTGTATCCATATTTTCCTGTTATAAGCAGTGAACAGCTTTGGGCATCTTGGGGAACATCCATGGTTATTCCGTTAGTGGGAATTCATAGATGTGCGGTTCCTGCAGCAAAGAGTTTACGTATTTTAAGACTTCAGTGAATGCTGCCATATCGCTTTCCAGAAAGTTCATATGGATTTATGCCTCTCCCCCTCCCCCACCTCTTGCAATGATGAGAGGGAGCAGTGGAGGTCTGGCTCTTCACTCCTTTTCTGGGTTCACAGCTTCCCATCAGAGTTGTGTTACTGAGTTTGGCGAAGTCCTTAAAAGTGGAGCTGGCCTCCCATTCCGCCTGAGAGAGGCGTTTATGTCACCCCTCCGTGGGCCGAGCAGTCATCCTTGGTGACATCCTGGGCTGGGTGAGACCTTGAGAGGGCCTCTCATCTGGAGTTTTTCAAACTGTTTTGATCAAGACTCACAGAGATACAATTTATCTTGCACCCCCCACACCTATTGCACACACACAGCTGCAATGAGTTTCATGAAACAGTGCTCTTTCTTACCAGGCGTGATATTTTACATTCTTCTCTATCTTATTCTCAATAATTTACCAAGCGCCGCTGATCTCCACCTGGGCTCACCTCCAACCCTTTCCAGGCGGCTGTGATTCTGTCCACAGTGTCCTGCCTCCGATGCCAACCTTAGAGCCACCGGGTCCTTGAGAGCAGTGGCCGCGTGCTGCGCTTTGCCCGATTCCTCCAGCTCTTAGCGCCGAGGCCAGCGTGGAGAGAAGCTCAGCTCGGTGCAGGATTGTCCCCTCTGCACTGAGGTTTCTTAGTCTCATACTTCACTTCTGCTCTTCCCGTGGGTAGCTGTGCCACCTCTCCCATTTGAATTTTCGTTTTAACCTTTTATGGAGAGTGATTTATTTTTTATGGATGCCTCTTTCAACCAAGGAAAAATTCCCTACAATTCAAACAGCAGATATTTCTTTGGGCAGTTAGAATTGCAATTCAGAGGACACACATGCAGATAGAAACCCAAAACGTGTTCCGATTACAGGAGGGGGTCATAGGGTTTCTATGAGAAAAAGGAAGGATGAGGTGGTTGTATGAAAGAAGGGTTCTTTGGTGCTGGATGAGGTACGGCTGGCTTGTACTTCATGGATTGGCTTGAGATTCAGTCATCAGGCAAAAGGCTAGACTGTCCTTCATTGATTGGTTAGCGATTTGGTCATTAGCAAAGTCTAATTTCATCAGTCCTTCCACATAGGATATTCTTGTGCTTACTGATTTCTTGGGATGTTGGTGGTTTGGTCCAGCTTGGAAGATAAAGAAGATTTGCAAGATAATTCCTCTGAAATGGCTGCTCTGGCTCTATTTTAGTATGGCTCCACTCAGGTCATCTTTCACACCCCTCTCCCGCACCAGACCCTACACTGCAAGAGGGCAGGGGCGGCCCCTGGTTCTGCTCACCGTTCCGTTCCCAGCTCAGCATTGGCACATGGGAGTGACTCAAGAAATGTTTCTGAATCAGTCACCTCCCCCCAGCGTGGAGCCCGTGAAACTCACCAGGGGCTGAACATACATAGTCTCTCTCAGCGAATGCAAAGTGACTCAGGGTTTGGTTTCTATTTGGAACCTCATTGTTCACATCTCCCCCCTCAAGCCCTAAATAGCAGATAAATCTACTAGTTACTTAGGGTTTCCTGGGCCAGGCGTGGATTTCACATCTTAGTATTCACCCCGCTGCCTGGCGTTCCCTTCCCCCTTTGTCCGCCTGGTGCATCCCAGCTCACCGCAGGCTCAGCTCCTGCCTCGAGGGCCCTGCATTTTGTTGAATGAATGAATGAATGAATGTATGCCTCTCTCACCAACTGGTAATGCCTTATAGTGATTGGCAGTTTCCCTGTCTCGCTCCCCTCAATGGACTGTGACCTCTGGGAGGGCAGGCTCAGCATGCTGCCATGCGCTCCTCCCCCAGGTTATTGTTGAAGAAAGCGCTGGAGAGCGCGGGACGTGCTTGTGTCTGATCTCCACCAGGGGGAAGCAGTGAGCCATCCTTGGAGGATCCTTCTTGTTTTAAATTCTCTTCTTCCCTCCAAAATTATCATTGGTTCCTTGAAGCTTCTAAGTGTCTTGGGAGCTGGATGGTTCCATCACTGCCTGCCGTTTGTCTTAACCAGAAATGTTATCCCAAAGTAGGGATCAAACTAGCCTTTCCCACTAGACTTTTGCTTCTTGAGGGTCATACGATATTTATTCACCTTGGTATCCCCAGCTCTCAGCTAGGAAGCTGGAGGCTCCCCCAGTGATGAAATCAGATATTTTAAATTCTAGTGTGTAGTGGGGAGGCAACGTGTGTTTGTTAAATGACTGAAGGAATATAAGTTGTGTTGAGAAATTCATGGAAACCAAGCATATGGAGTAAGGAAGCTTAATGCCTGGCCAAGAATCTGTGTAATCTCTGCCTCTCTGTCTCGCCCTCCGTCCCTCCCTCCATCTCTCTCTCTCTCTTTCTTAGAGGATAGGGGCAGCTTTATTTTCAAGTTGTGACTCTAATTAGTTCTCTCCTTGGATTTTGGGGATATCTCTATTTCCCAGTGCCCAAGGAACCCCAAAGAAAGGAAAGCTTAACCCTTTCTTCTCTTCTCACAGCTTGTTAGATCCGCCTTAGCCTGAAACCAAGGAACACTCAGTCATCCCTCAACAAGCCCAAGGGACTCCAAAGCCAGGATTTGGGCTGTGAAACCAAAAAACGTTTGTTCACTCATTCAACAGAATTTATTGGATGTCTATTATATGTCAGGCACTGTTCTAGTCTCTGAAAATGCTTAGATGTCTGTCCTCGTAGAGTTTACATTCTAGTAGGAGACAGACGATAAATTATAATCAGAATCAGCATGTACATTTTATAGTGTGTTAGAATAAATGGGGTGGAAAAAAAAGTGGAGCAGGCTAAGGGGGGTCAGTTGTCATGTTAAACAGAGTGGTCAGGGCAAGCCTCCATCCTTTTCAGTTCTCCTGCCTTCTCCTTCTCAGTCCTTAATTGTTTGCTGAGAGTATGGAATCTGGAGTCAGACCAACTCAGGTTCAAGTTCTGGGTCTGCCACGTATTAGCTGTGCGATTTTGAGTAAGGTATCTCCTGATGCTGAGCTTAGTTTCCTAAGCAGTAGGGTGGAGATGATGATCATTTCCACCCTGTTGGTCTTTGGGAGGATTGCATGAGATGATGCAGGCCAAGCACACAACCTGGCCTGGATTGGGTACATGATAACTCTGTGTTACTATTATTGTCAGCAGCAGCAGCAGTACCATCCTTGCCTCCATCCTACAACCATCACCACCATTCCTACTCCAGTTTCTACCGTCACTACCACCATCATCACCATCATCACTACAATCACCATCACCGCTACCATCCCCATCGTCTCCATCACCACCATCACCACCACCACCATCATCATCACCACCACCGTTACCACCATCACCATCACCACTATCACCATCACCATCACCGCCATCATCATCATCACCACCACCATTACGACCATCACCATCACCACTATCACCATCACCATCACCGCCATCATCATCACGACCAGAACCATAATCACCATCACCACTATCACCATCCATACCAACATCACCACTGTCACCATCACCACCATCATCATCATGACCAGCACCATCATCACCATCACCACTATCACCATCATTACCAACATCACCACCATCACCATCACTACCACCACCATCATCATCACCACCACCATTACCATCACCACCACCACCATCATCATCATCACCACCACCATTACCATCATCACCACCACCGTTACCATCATCACCATCACCACCATCATCATCACGACCAGCACCATCATCACCATCACCACTATCACCATCATTACCAACATCACCACCGTCACCATCACGACCAGCACCATCATCACCATCACCACTATCACCATCATTACCAACATCACCACCATCACCATCACCACCAGCATCATCACCACTGTCACCATCAGCATCCCCTCATCACTACCATCACCACTATTGCCAGTGTCCTTGAGTCTTTCTCTGCCCCCAACTCACTTTCCTCTACCTCTTTCCATCCTCCTCTCTTTTTTTCTCCAAAGGACCCCTGACCTTCAGTTTTCTAATTCGGCTCTCTAATTCTTTGTTTCTCTTGATTTCCCTTCCCTCTGAGCTTCTGTCTCCCTCAACACTGCTGCTTCTTTAGAACCTATTTCCCCACTCTTTCTGGCTTGATTGTTCTCTAGAGGTGGCCCACTTTGCCCTGGCCAAAAAAATTAAAGCAGAAGCCCAAGCAATTTTTCCATGGCACACAGCCCCACCGTCCCACTGTGGTCACTACAGAGCTGAGGTCCTAGGGTGAAATGGATTTGGCTGCTGGAAGATCATGATCTTGCCATTCCTCCTACCTGAGACTGGAGACCTCTGCCTGAGACTGGAGACCTCAGGTTTGGAGACAACAGGTGCCCTTCCTGAACTTTCCTCTCCTTGGTCACAGCTGCCTTATCAGAGGAGAGCCTGGGGGCGCATGGCTCAGAAATCGGGGTGCTGTTGCTGTGGCTTTCTCTTTTCTCACGTTTCCTCTTTCCTTCTGCTCTTCTTCTTGGTCTTTTGCTTGTTTTCAGCCTAATGATGTGTGGTCACTGTCCCAAGGAAAAACCCAGGTTCCAGATAGTGGAAGACCTTGTTTCCTCCTTCCTTTCCTTCCCTTCTCTCCTCCCATATATATATATCATCGCTCACTACATCTCTGGCACTGTGCTGGGTTCCAGGGCTTTGGGGTGGAGCTGAGACCTAAAGCTGGAGGAGGAGTTCTCCGAATGCCTGGGAGGTGGTGGGAGCACTCAGTGACTCGGGAGGAGGGAGCACGCAGAGGTGCCTTGCAGCAGGAGGGAGCGTGGAGCATTTCAGGCACGGAGAGACCAGTGTGGCTGGCCTGCTGCGAAGGCTGGGGAGAGCTGTGGGAGCTGGGGTCAGACGGGTGGGCAGGGCCAGCCCCCGTGCCCGACCGTGGCCGGGAGGAGCCTGCAATGGATAAACACTTGCCCAGTGTTCAAATACCTGCGCTGGCTGCGGATTAGGCAGGGGGCTTACAGCGAGATGCCTGGAAGTGCAAGACTAGGCTCAGGGGGCCATCCAGTCGGAGAGAGGAGGCCGGGGTGCCGCTGGCAGACAGCTGCCCCTGCACCCCGCAGCCTCCGGGGGGCTTGCTCTGCTGGGCCCCCTCCAGCGCCTCCTCCTGAGTGTCCAGGGGAAACTGGCAGCCAAGAGACAAACAGGATGCAAAGTGGCCCTGAAATAGGACAGCCTCACATGCTCTCTGCTTCTTCCCAGTTGAGGCATGGAATGGAGCCCACCAGAACCCCGCCTTCCCCTGTAGCCTTCCTTTGACTAGAACAAAGAGGAGAGCGGGCTTGATTGCCCTATTGTTCCAGTTGCTTCTAACTTTGGGAGGGCCTGTGGCAGAGGAAGAGCCGCCCCTCCCAGAGCCCACAGTGTCTGGTGTGTACGTTCTCCAGCCTTCCTGTCCTGTGGGTCAGGAATCCCTTGCACAGATGTGGCACTGTGTTAGGACTCTCGGTTGCAAGTGACAGAAACCTAACACAACCACACTTGTGCACAAATGGCTCATTCATTCGCTCTGTGGATACTGACCGAACTTCCTCTGTTGTGGTCAATGTGGGGGACTAGGGACATAGTGGTGGGTTCCTGTCCTCATGGATCTTGTGTTGTAGACCTGTACTGACCAATAGGGCGGCCACTAGACTCCTGTGGCAAGTCAAACTTATATTCATAAAATGAAATAAAATGAAAAATGCACTTCTTCAGTTGCACTAGCCACATTTCCAGTGATCCGTGGCCATGTGCGTCTGGTGGCTGCCCTGTTGGGACGACACAGTTTTAGGACATTTCCATCATCACAGAAGGTTCCGTGGGACAGCGCCGCTCTAAAATATATTGAGAGGAACAATAAATGGAAAAAATATCAAATGGCGATCAGTTTTATGCAGAGAATTAGAATAGAGTGACGTGATGGTGACGAGGTGGCCAGCTCTGATGGACGGTCACAGTGGGTGTGTCAGTCAGGGTTCTCCCAGAGAAGCAGAATCAGGAGGGTAGATACAGTAAGAGATATATTATGAGAAATTGGCTCATGCAGTTGCGGAGGCTGGCTGGGCAGGTCTGGAGTCCGGGGGGCAGCCACCAGGAGGGGCGGGAGCTCTTGGGCGGAACTTCTCCTCCTCAGGGATGTCCCAGTTCTGCTCTGAAGGCCTTTCCAGGGACTGACTCAGGCCCACTCAGATGCTGGGGGACCATCTCCCTACTTAAAGACAACTCCTGATAGACGTAATTACATCTACAAACATCTTCACAGCAGCACCTGCATTAGGGTTTGGTTGAATAACTGGGGACTGTGGCTTAGCCAAGTTGACACATCAAAGCCATTGCCACAGCGGGCCTCTC